TCAGCTTTTTAAGATGAAAACTTAAAGAAGACAATTCGACAAAAACAATTGTTCTGAGAGAGCATAATAACGCATAAATTCAGTAGGTAAAATACGTGTCTTGAGCACAATATTCACCAAGCAAAGTAAAACTGTAAATATCACTGGCATATGACTGCGCCCGTTGATCGAGAAGAAAAAAGAAAAAAAAAGTATGATGACGAGAAAATTTTCGAAGTCAGTCGAATGCCGCAAGAGTTGATCAAATTCATACCGGGCGTACTCAACGTGTAAACTTACCCAAAATTAAAGTTGACTACTATTTTCAGAGTTAGAGTACGTCAAAGTTACTCCTTTAACTGCTACGTAGTGTGGACGTTGTCTATGTAACGCATTTGATCTATGAAGTACCGCTAAGCCATCACGAACAAATGAGTGTTACTGCAATCAACGTTACTGGATGTATAATCTTAACAACTAAAACGAAGAACCTACACATTAATTAAACATGAGAATTCGAATCACCTGTCGTTAATTTGTACCTCGACTGAGTAACAAAGCACAGAATACGTTAGGTTGTCACACAACCATCGTTATACCGTCAAATTTTTCAAATCAAACTGTATCTTGCATTGATTTCGATTAACTGACACTTTGGTAGAAACTTTCGTTTTCTCGCCTTTTAATAACAAAGTTAAATTTTTAATTTATTTAAAATTATCAATGCGCGTCTTTCCTCTCTTTAGATACCACATAAAAGTTCTCATTATATTGGCAGGATAGATAAACAGCCTCAAGACACAGATTTACTTGACTCACTGTATTGATGATATCCATGCTGTTGTCATCAACTGGCAAAAGTAATAATATTTAGCCTAACGCATAATAGGAATTCTGCAATATGGTTATTTATATATTTCGTAGGTTTATTATTCTCTCGTAGAAAAGTTGATAATTAGTAGATGTCGAGGTAAAATGAGGCAAGAACCGGCATGGATTCTAAGAAAAAAATTTCAGTCATCAATTCGGATGGCCAGTAGTTATTGGGGGAGGTAGTTGATACTTAGTGAAAATTAAGACACTCTAACTATTCTTGGCCATCAATGTCTTTTATCGGAAATTGCCACTTAGTTAAAAATTCACACTATAAGGGTAGTGAAATATTCACACTAATGTGTATTTCTATAGGGAAAGCAGTGTGTCTAATGAGTCCTCTGAATTCCTAAACAACATACATTGATCTGTTGCGGAAAGGTTTCTTCTTTAAAAACGTTCAGTTTACAATGCACGATGAACTCCAAAGGCTAAATTTCAAATTTCATTTTATTTTGACTGGAGAAAAAAAAATTCGATTTCTTTCACGAGAAGCCAATTAAAATGCAAATTTTGATGCACTCTGCCCTTAGCACATTACTGGGAAAAAATGCTTCATTATAATAAGGAGACTTTGGCAAATTAATTATGAGAAAGGTGGATATGGAGTATCATTAATTTAGTCACATTTTATTTTCCTTACCATGAAAAAAAGACGTATATTTTCAAGGAAGAATCAAAACAAAATGAAAACGACTTTGGTGAAAACTTGCAAATATATTCTTGATCTAACAAACCAAATACAAACGCATACTTGACTATATTACAAAATTCCTCATATTCTTGATTAGCAGCTATCTTATGTAGTTGTTTTATTCAGGATCCCTGCGGGGTAGGGGTGAGTGAGAGATGGTCGTTGAATTATGTCAGCGGACTCTAAATGAAACTTTCGACGACAATACCTGTGTCGAACCCCCCCCCCTCCCCCTTTTTTTTCTCCTTAGCTGACTCAGGTTCAGAAGCTTCTTGTCATGATATGAGGAATTATAGGAAAAAGTCTGACACTGTAATCGACTTGCGGATATTAACTATGTTTAAAAAAATATATGTCATATGGAAACTCAGCAGCAGCAATTATGAGACGCGGACGGCGACCAAAAGGATGATGCAACCAGGTCTAATGTGCATTCATATCAAATAGCCCAGAGCAAAGGCTTCATCCTAGCATTTTGGACTGAACAGTGCAGATAGAAGGATCTGTATTAGGCGCCTGGGAAAAGCAGTCTCAACTTCCAGCTGATGTCTACGTCTCAAAAAATGTCTGAACTAGCGTTTTCCATACATGCATGTATCGACATACCGCATAATGAAGATGACAGTCTTACTCAAGCAATTTAGAAGTTTTCCCTTTTTCTTTTTTCTACGTTTGCTCTTTTTCCACACATATAGAAGATATAATTTTCTGACGAAGTATCCACCGCGTCACTTCTGACTAATCAAACTTTTTCCCACTAGAGCAGTAAGATATAAAGTATTCAAGTGAGTCCTTCACAAACTGTTGTAGGTAAGTGTCACATGTAGTAATCCTAAAAGCAACTGATTAAGTTTAAGAGATTATAATCTCTTGCGAAGTTATACTTTTTTCTAGCAGTTTTAGACCTCCCTGCCTACAGGCTCCTAACCCCTTAACTGATTCCTTTACTGATTTGAACACATTAGTTTCGGTTTTCTTAATGATTACTCAGGAATTGTCCTACCCGCGGCAGTTTTACCCGAACTAAAGAAACGTCGTTGAATAAAATACAAGAAATGTTACTAATATCTAAAGATAACCATTGAAATTGTAATAAAATAGAAAGAAAAGTCTGTTTAAACTGGCTGTCTGTCAAGAAAGATAACATTGCCCAACTCTAGTGCTTATAGTTACTTATAATAAAGTGTTGTATCTTTCTTTTCCAGAAACGTAAAATGGCGTTTTCAAACATCAGCAGCCATTTTGGAGTTGACCTACTTAACTTGGCGTACTACTCTTGATCTACTCCTCTGAGGACCTCTTAAAGCTGGTCATTCTTGGGGAGTAGTTCTGATCTGGGTCTTTTTTAACATAGCGTCCCTCAGACGGTACAAGAAGCTCATGCTTTTCATCTCCCTGTCCACCTTCTTCCATGTCTGCTTGGTCAGCGTTCTTCAGTTCATCACGTGACAGGTGTCCAACTATACCAGCACCGATTGCATCCCCAAGGACATTTACAACAGTACGGAAGCGATCCCTTGAAAGTCAAACAATGAAGATCAAGAAATGAAACTCCGTTTGAAGCGAAATGGATGAATGAATAAATGAAATTCTGAATGTATGAAAGAATGAATAGATGGATGAAGTATCGAATAAATAAATGAATGAAGGAATGAAGAAAAAAGACGGGAGCGCTTTCAAGACCCTTCATATAAATATATACTGGATAAGTTGAAAATATGGAGCCCCATAAACATTGAGGACGAAAAAGAAATATGCGTAGAGTAAAATGAAACTCATAGTTTAAAATACTCTAATAAACGCTGATATCTCTGGTCTTACATGAACCAGTCCACTGCCCAAAGAAGAGCGACATCACTGGTGGGGAGGTTAGCAGACTGTAACACAATCAGCATGGTAACCAGGCCTGCAGACGGAATTGCTGCTGCACCAACCGCCGCAGCCATAGATGTCAATCTAAATGATGGAAAAAAATGACAGAGACATAACTTACCAGCGCCCTTTTGCCTATTCGAAGCATTCATTTATCAAACAGAGACGAAACGCGAAACAAATGCATTAAAAATGAGAAAAAGATGATCGAAACGAGGCTAGATAGAGATGCTCTTCTCTTTTTTTCTTCCATTTTTCCCACTCGTACCATGACGTTTTTTCAAATAATTTTTAAAATGCCTGGAAGAGGCTTGCCGCATGAAACAAAGGAGAACAGATCCCACTGACACACTCATTAGCTATAGAATGCATACAATTAAGATTGATGTAGGGTAGTAGCCAACGTCGGCGCGGCATGGCCGGCTTTACGGGCCCTCTACTAAAGTAAAGGCGCTGGAGCGGCGAAAACGAACGCAGAGCTCCTTTATTTAGTTTCGCTCAGCTGCCGAGTTCTTCAAAGAGCGAACAAAATTGCCAGATACGCGACCAAAGAGGGAAATAGGGTAATCAGTTCTGATTTTTCAGGAGTTAAGCTATCATTTAACATACGGAATCTTCACTTTCAAATTTATGGCCGTGAACCAGCATGATGATTTACCAACTTTATAACGACATAATCTGTTCTTTGCAGACGACTACCATTTGGAAATCCACCTTAAATTGTTTTGCAAATGGATTTTTAATTTTAAATATTCCATCCGCAGTACTTCTTTATCAGTTCTGATGATCAGCAGTTAGGATCCAGTTAGTATTTACCGCCGGGATTGGGGAAGTTTGGAGGATTTTGGGGGATCACATGGTTTTCATGACACAACCGTGACACAGCGTTTCATGGCTATCGCTCTGACGAAGGGCCAACGTTCGAAACGTTAGCTTTGAAACTCTTCACGGTGCCCAGTTTACATTATCAACTCAGTTAATATCACTAAATTACCCTGCTATTCTTGACTGAAACAGAGTCCACTTTGGTTACACAAGAGTTTCTTAAATCAAGTTTTTTATGTAGAGCGTTTTTTTACAGGCACCCAATACACATTTTGGTGAGAGAAGATGTTTCTTTAGCCTCAGAGAGGAAATGTACTTACATAATAGTAATAACCTGTCCTGCCCCAAGGCTGATTCCGTGAAGCTGCGCGATCCAGAGAGCACAAACGCCTTCGTACAACGCGGTTCCGTCCATATTAACGGTGGCACCCAACGGTAGAACGAAGCGACTGATACGTTTGTCTACGTGATTGTTCTGCTCCACACATCTCATGGTGGTTGGCAAAGTGGCCGCGCTGAATTAAAGATG